TGTTGTCCTCAATTTTCTTCATGGCTGCTTCAGATGTCAAAGGATACTTTATGATATTGTAAGCATCCATGCTGTAAATGAATAATGTTTGATAATTGCATAAATAATTTTGACATTCAAATGACTTGCCATTCAGTTACTGTTGAAACAGTACACAAAAATAGTAATGTTCATTTTTTAAAACAATTTAAGAGAGTAAAACTAACAAGAAATAAAGAAAAGGTGCTTATTTCTCGAAGTGGTTTTTTTTATGTGATATGGTCGTAAGTCATTAGGAATATCTGATTTTAAGCTATCATATGAATAAAATGGTGATGGGAACTTACCGATTCCTCTTAGGAAGCGACTTCCTGGGGTACTTCGGGTGCCTTGGAGGTTCAAAGGTCTTTGGCCTGCGGAAGTGCACAGAGGTGCGGATCTTCCGTATTCTCTTGCCATGTTCACCTTTGACTACCTAAAAAATTTACCACGATAAGTAGGATTGTCTTATTATTTATAAACAACAGAACTGCATGATGTCACATGTGTTGACAATAACTATATTACTGCAGTAAAACAAACAAGTATAATATATTCATAGCAATGGAAATAAAAATGTAATAAAAATAACTCTTTGCCTAAGTTCCATGTTTTATAGCATTTAATGCATTGCTTCTAAGAAAGAAGAAATAGAATTCAATTGCTTAGGATTGATTGCAATCCTTTGTATTATTTTAATTAAACTGTTGAATATTGAACTAATCTTAAACATGGTAACATTTTTCATTATCAACATGTGCTTTGCTCTTCTATAGTCAACAAAGTGGAGAAAGATAAGATAGAAGAAAACATTTAATTAATAGAAAACACCAAAATTTAAATCTCAGAATAAATTGCCTAACATGTTTATTGATGATATTTTAAAAACATACCTTTCTTTGTGCTTTAAGGGCCTTGGCAACAGGTTTAACAACTTGTTTCTTTTGGCCCTTGATGCCGGTCTTCTTAGGCTTAGGGGCAATCTTCAACTTAGCTGCAGCTGGTTTAGGTTTGGGCCTGGATGCAGCCGCGGCTTTCTTCACTGAAGGCTTGGCACTAGACTTAGCTTTCAATGCAGCAGCTTTAGCAGAGCCAGGCTTGGCAGAAGGTGCTGAGGCTGGTTTCTTCTCTGCAGGCTTAGCAGCAGCTGGCTTTGCAGCAGCTGATGCTGGTTTAGCGGCGGCAGGCTTAGCTGCCGGCGCTGCCTTGGGCGCAGCTGCTTTAGGAGCAGGTGCAGGCGTTTTAGCCGATGCCGGCTTAGGTGCAGCAGCAGCGCCAGATGAGGAGGCAGCTTTGGGTGCAGCTGCGGGAGTTTTAGCCGTGGCAGGCTTCTTTTCCGCGGGCTTGGATCCGGAGGACCCTGAAAAGCGAACGATAACATGTAGCACCTAACCTCAATATGCAATGCTTTTGAAATTAAATCAATCAGTTTCATTAACATTAAGGCACTACACAGCATTAAAAACTCTTACGTTTTTGTGTTTTATTTCATTTAAAACAGAAACATAAGCGCAATTCACACAGGATTCACAACAAGTACCGCGTGGCTGAGTAGTAAATGTCACAATGGTAAAGTTTCACTTTCTGGCCTTAACAATTAATATTGTATGACTATAAAACAACATACAAAGCTTAAATTACTTTGTATGATATAAAATTCACATATCACTGGTTTAATTCAACAAAATATAAATACATACCGGATTTCTCGGGTTGCTTCTTAGGAGGCATCGTGACAAAAAAGATGGAGGATCACTGCCTATGTTGCCAGATCACAATAAATTTTTGTTTTTTTTTTACGATAGCAAGTTTGTAAATATTTTCCTGACTGTAGTCTATGGTAGTAATTTAAAATTATAAGAATAAAAAATTTAAATAGTACTTATACATTTTTTTTAAACTTGTTTTAAATATTTACTGATTAAAAATTACGGAGAGGTGCCAAGCCAACGCCGGCGAAGGTTCCCGAGAAAGAAATTTCCGGACAATACGTCTCGAGATTTCTGTATCAACTTATCCATCTAACCTACATAAATTCTGATCGAGACTTAGTCATGAGTTTATTGCCTGGTACAATAATCGACACAATAAATGCTGATTCTATATCCATTGACGATTTCATGAACTAAATCAACTTGTCACTTGCTTTATCTTTTTCAACTTTCACGAGAGGCGACTGAATGCAAATTATAATTTTGTATGGATTGCTATGTCAATTAAATTATTATTATTTTTTTTAAATATTTACTATTACTATTTTGTATTTTACGAATCTAGCTATTGTTCTATATATTTAATAAATAAATAAATGAAATTTATTTAAACAACTAAAATTTTATTTTTTAATATAAAAATACAATAATATAATATGTATATAAAAATAGGACCCCGCCGGCCGCGGGAGCAAGGTCCAAGCTACTGATGGTTAGGGCTCCAGAGACAGAAATCTCCTCACAATACGTGCCGTTTAATGGAGGACTGTCTTCTGAATGAGGCCCTTGATCCATCCGCTTAACGTCAGCCTCTTAAGGTGGTTGTCGTGGCTTTTGGGGACTAACCCATTTGCCGACACAACTATCGGCACAATGATAGCCGAGTCCATACTCCAAATGTCAACAACCTCGTGTGCCAAGTCAAGATACTTTAATTGTTTATCTTTCTCAGCCTTCACGAGGCTCTCGTCATGAGGAATAGCAACATCGATTATCATCGTACGCCGCTTCAGTCGGTCTATCACCACTATGTTAAGCTTAATTGCTATAATGATTACAATAATCTTGTCAGTGATGATAGACCGATCCCAGTACAGTGTGATATGATCTTTTTCAAGAACATGACATGGGCATGACCCAACCGTTAAAGCTCGCTCCTCGTCCTGATAAAAAGCTTTTCAGTACCTTATTTAGGCGACCAAAATAGCGCTGAAAGGATTGCTTTGTGCGGCGCATTAATACCTACTCCTTTTGACATACCAAGGTACTTGTAGGTATAATTATTTTGCGGAGAGTGATCTCAGTTTTGTAAAATCTGGTCCACTATCCCACCTCGTTTTACAAGCATACCCGCACACTTGTCTATTCCAAGCTCCATTCTGGTGGAACTATTAAAATATCAGTTATCTTTACTAAGATTATTAAGACGTATTTGTACCTAAGTTTGCCAGTTTGTTTGTAAGTTTGTATGTAGGGGGTAATCTTTGGAACCGCTGGTCGGATTGCAAAGTCTTCAAGTTCAAGTCTTCACTGATAAATAGCTACAACGTTCCTGAGTGCTATAGGCTATAAAACATCACAGTTATTAGTAATTCCATTAGCGCTTCCTTGTTTAGTGCAAACAGCTTGAGGTAGGTCATCCATGTAAAGTAGGTAAGTGGGAGATAACGTGACCTCTTCACCGCAAACAAACGTACTAAAAAGATTCAAGGCCAAGAAGAACCACAGTGGGCTCAGACTATCCCCCAGGAAAAACCTTACAGGTTTTTATTCCTTTGGATTTGCCTGCATCCTGGATAGGAAAGCATCATGCTCCACTGCTCCTTACATGACATGTAAGAAGGTGCGTAGAGTTCTATTAATTTTATACAACTCCAACATCCTCATAAGTCACGTATGTGACACGTAGTCATAAGCCTTTTTATAATCTATCCAGCATGTAGACACATCCTTTCGTGTTTGATGACCCTGCTGGCTAATGGCCATATCAATGAGGAGTAGCTCCTTAGTTCCACGAGACCCCTTTCTACACCTATTTTGGGAGACAGACATGACGGTTTTTTTTTCTCTGTTTTGTCATTTTGTTTTGTAAAAGTTTATAGACCGTCGGTAAACATGTTATTGGTCTATAAATTTTGGGTTCAATGTAAGTACCTGACTTATGGAGCAGGTGGGTAATTCCTCAATCGGGTTTCTTAGGCCATCTGGAACAGCGATGCTAAGCGATTGTGTGAACTGGTAAAAGATTTGAGCCAAAAGTTATGCTGTCCGTCCGGCCTCGATGATTTCCAATTCGGCACCGAACAATCTCTGGTTTATATTCATACTTCATCATGGTTTATATTCATACTTCCGCATACTTAACAATGTTAAGTATGCGGAAGTGTGAATCATATACTCGGCGGCTGACAGTTAACAAGCACGGAACAAATGTTATGCCAAAACGTATTGCGTCCGGATGCCGTCCGTTAACCACATCTTGGCTGGATCGCTCCCAGTCTCTGTAAACCCACCTCTGATCGCTTTGAAACATGCGATTATGAGTATAGCGCTCTACCCTTTGATTATATTGTCTAATCCGATTTGCCGATGCATAATTTTCTGCTTCAGGAAGTCGATGCGCTCTGTAACACTGTAAGGTATTCGTCAGGACTAGTTTCACTCCCCACAATTGTTCTTGTTATTAGTAACAAGAAGACGATCAAATTTATCATTTACAAGCACTATGTACCGACCTACCTACATAGTAGTATACCTACATATTATTTTATATTCTTACCGTTTAGAGTTTCCAGGTAATAAACTCCCCTGTTCCCGCTCTTGCTCTAGGCCGAGGCCTCGATACAGTGGTGAACCCATATTGTTTGTGGTCTATGCACCGAGCGCATCGCCAAGACCGAGGCGCGTATATACATAGCTCTCGTTTCGTCCATTTTATGAAGTAGCTAGCTAGTATTACCTTGCTAAAGTATAGCTGGGTGATAGTTAATAAGTCTTTGAATATATGTAGGTACTTTAGTAGAAAGTAGTCTTAAGTAAATTTGTTACTAACTCGAAGGACTTCGACGTCTGAAACTAGTTTATTTTAATTTCATTTTCATTGTGCGATGACGTCGACAGATCTATGCTAGTTGCATACCTAGCACACAAGGCCAAGCTATTTAATTAATTAGCTAGGACACAAGGCCCCGATCCGTTATGTCGATTCCCCGGACTGATGACAGTAAAATATCAGCCGTCGGAGCCGATATAAAAATGTAGGGTCCGAATAGCATCGATGCAGTCATCATCATCAGCCGGAAGACGTCCCCTGCTGGAGAAAGGCCTCCCCCTTAGCTCTCCACATCGAATGACAAGTTGCCACTTGCATCCATTGGCTCCCCGCGACTCTGACGATGTCGTCGGTCCACCTAGTGGGAGGCGTGCCCACACTGCGTTTTCCGGTCCTTGGTCGCCACTCTAGCACTTTTCGGGCCCATCGACCGTCCGTCTTTCGAGCGAAGTGGCCTGCCCATTGCCACTTTAGCCTGCAGATTTTACGAACTATGTCGGTGACTTTGGTTCTTTGGCGAATTTCCACATTTCGGATTTTGTTGCGCAAAGAGACCCCGAGCATAGCCTGCTCCATCGCGCGCTGAGCGACTCTGAGTTTAGCAAGAAGGCCAGAAATGCAGTGCCTTTACTTATTATTCAGGTGCTCTTCACGCCTTGATCACCTCTAGACTTTTGCTTTTAAAAAAATAAATTTATATTGCGTTATTTACATTAAAACACCTATACAACTAGAGAGCAAGAACAATTATAATAAGGTTGATTTGTGTATAAGACTTTTCTTAAATTTTAAATTAAACTACTGAAGAATTCATAATTTATCACCCGAGAATAATATTATGTAGGGACCTAGCCGGTAGACAGTGAAAAAACATTTAAAATACTATGCACCATGTGTATTTACTTACATAAATTATGTATTAATGAAAATTAAGCACAATAATGCCATAAAGCTAAAATTAGGTAATACTAAGAGGCACAGTTTTTCAATTATTCAAATTACAACATTTTAGAATAAGCCCAGGACCATTATAAGAAGACAAATATGAAACAAAACAACACTGGTATTTATAACTTTTCCACAAAGTTATTAGCAAGAAATAACACTGACTAAATAGAAACTCATTGGAGAACAGAGACCACTGTTGGTCAGTTTAAATATTATTAATATTTCTAAGGGGTAGTTAATTTGTTACTTTTTTTTTCAACTGTTCTAATTGTTAAGGAAAAAAGATTATATATTTATAATATAAGAAATTGTAAGTGCTTGTATGATATGACCCTCGGCTTATTCTGTACTGGTTGCAATGATTGTATAAGCTACATTATATTATCAATACATAATCAAGCCATCTAAATATTAAATAGAATTTGTCAAAGATTTTTTACATATTTTATATTTTCTAAATATATATTTATAACTAATACCAATAAATTCAGAATTGTTTGAAGACAAATTAAATATTACCATAGAACAATTGTGAAACTACATTAGGACATGGTATCATATCAAAATTGTGTACTTGTAGTGATTCCTAATAGTTGTAATCACTAGGGGCTTGACTAGAGCTAGCAGCTGTTCGATGAAATGATCCTATATTCAAAAGGGGTGTGTTATAATTTGCATTTACTGATCCCTGCATTGGAGATTGTGCATTAGCAACAGTTTGCACAGGCCTTTTTCCTATTATTAATGGGAAACACTCATCAGGAATACCAGAGAGTGCTGATTGTACTCTTTTCATGCGATTAGAACATTCTTCAAAATGATCAGTTATATACTTAAGTTCAGGTGCTGAAGCAAGATTATAATGAGTTTTCAAATGTTTGTCAATTATTTTTAAGCCTTCTGAATTAGTAAAAGTTACTTTTTCTCCACTATAAAAGAAAATATCAATATCAGTTGTGTTTTCCATTAACTGGCACTTTGCTAATGATGTATAAAGTGTTATCTTTGGAGTTTTGGCTTTGACAAGTTCAACAAATCGAGAAGCATATAAATATTTTTTCCAATGTTTCTGTGGCAAATTGTGATATGTAAATACCTCATCGGGATTAGGATCATGGTCAATATTCAGAGTTCTGGTCTTGCTGTCAACTGTGTATATTATGATTTTCATGCCATCTTTGGATATTTTACAAATTTCTGTAATTTGTTCTTCTCTATCTTTTCCTTTCTTCTTAATAAACTCAACAATTACTCCAGACGGCTCTATTTTTAAGATGGCATTACGTGTCCGATGTGATATTGTTGGCAATCTTTCAGCACACAGTGGAGGAACACTCAAGGCATTAGAACTAACAGTACATGTTTTGGCAACATTTTCTTTATTGTCTTCTGTATTTACATTTAACTGGGGTGTTTTACATTTTATATCCAATTTTCTGATGTTTTCAAATAAAGACAGGTTGCTGTTGCATGGACTTTCGTTTTTTTTAAAGACATTATTTTGATTTTTAAAATCAAATGCTTCTGCTGAAGCTTTGTCAACTCCAGTACACAAATAATAATTTCGGTTATTTGAACAAGTGGAATTTGAACTAATTTCTTGAGTAAACACATTATAAGATGTGGGCCTAATGTCTTGTTTTTCAATATGGGGTATCATGTGGCATTCAGGCTCACTTTTATCATCATGTTTAAATTTATTACTATGTTGGGTGCTGTGAAGAGTAGTAAGAAATCCAGAATCTCGAGATATATCTTGTTTACATGTACCTTGAGAGCTACACAAGAATGGGTGTTCCAGAATTCCTTTTAATGTTATTCTTTTTGTAGGATCTTTGCACAAAAGCTTTTGTAACAAATCCTGGGCTTGGTGGGAAAGTTCTAGTGGTATCTTATAATCTGCATTTATAACTTTGTTTAAAGTGGTCTTAACATGTTGGGTATGAAAAGGTGGACTCCCTACTAGCAAAGTGTATAACATACAGCCTAAGCCCCAGACATCAGCAGGTAATCCATGAAATTCTCTAGCAGCTACCTCTGGAGAAATATAATTTGGTGTTCCACACATAGTAACATGCTTTTCATCAGGTCCATTCAATTGAGTTGCTAAGCCAAAATCAGCAATTTTAACATTTAGGTCCTTTGTCAGTAGTAAGTTATTTAATGATAAATCTCTATGAATGATATTGTGTGTATGAAGATATAATACTCCACTCAATACTTGTCTTAATATATCGGCTGCTGCCTTCTCAGAAAGTCCACGTGTACCTAACTTAAAATGTTTTGCCAGCTCACCATTGTGAGCTAGTTCTAAAACTAAATAGACATAATGTGCATCTTCAAAAAATGTGTATAATTCTAAAATTGCAGGATGTTTAAGACGGGAGTGAATGGTCACTTCTTGTCTTACTCTGCCAATCATGCCAGCACTTGCCATAAGTGCTTTGTCTATCATTTTGATAGCAACAAATAGTCCTGTCCTTCGACATCTTGCCCTATATACATGTGCAAATCCTCCTTTACCAAGATGTTCCAATATTTCAAAATCTTCTATTTTTTCACCAAACATTCTTGGGAGCTAAAATATTCTAGTATCATAAATAAAAGCAGTTTTTCCTTTCGACATGTTAATATGGTTCTTCTTAACAGTACCCATTATTTCTTGGTGTACTGAAAAACAAAATTTAGTTTTATTATAATGTTACCAAACGATTAAATAATAAAACATTGAAACAAATAATTTAATTATTTTTACCTTATTCACTATCCATTTGGCATCATCAATACTTTTGGAAATGATTTGTTTTACTCTCTCTGGATCAGGTTCAAACTTGTGTTGTTTGTAGCTCTGAAAATGTAATTATATATGATAAAAAATATTAATATACGATATTCAAATTGAAGCTTCTATTACTAGCAACTACTTGAAATGGTCTGAATACAAATTCAAGAATACACTGTAGTATTCCAAGGACTGTAACTTATATCAGATATGCGGGTTCCTTAACTTCACACTACAAACACTGGTTTTAATTATCACAGTAATTACCTGTTTAACAGCGAATTTGTAATGTTTACAAGCGTCAGGGGGAAGCTTCTCACACTGTCTCAATAAATGTTTATATAACTGCAAAGATGTCATAACAATTTTTGAATCATTAGAAAAATATCTTGTAATTTTCAACATTTACTTTTAATTGTTTAGTTTCAACACTTTATAAATTGAATTATTAAAGAATATCAAATATTGGGACCGCAATCACGTAACTTTGACGTTGATTCGCATCTGTCTGTTTGCTGTCTGTTGTTGTGTAGAAATGTAGATACAAAATTCGTCCACAGGCTAATAATTACTTGGTGCGTATAGTTAGTTGATATTGTCACACATATTGTAACGTTTCCCATACATTGTCCAGCAAGTTGGCCTTCTACCCCATTTCTACCCTACAACTATAGGATGAATATCAACTAATTAAGTAATACTGCTTCGAAAGTGTTATGAAAGTCATTATTTAAAGATAAAAAAATGCATAATAGCATTTGATATGACGAATACATAATATTAGACAGTAGGTTACTGTAAATTGAGTTGAACAGTTTTAAGTACTACTTTACTTTCACGAGATCATAGGATCCCGGACCTTTGTACGAGGGGCCGATGCCAACTCGTAGTGGTCCGTTTAATATAAGTGAAATGGGACATCAGCCGGCAATTATCCATGTATGCACTATTAAAGTGCACCCAAGGATAATCCCCGGTTGATGCAGGCAGGACTATTACGAAATGTGGTAATAATTGAAAGGGTTATTATGGAAAGGGTATGGGTTGCTTTGGACTGGTAGATAATATCTACCAGTCCAAAGCCACTATTTCATATTATGACTATGGAAATACTATGGCCCCTGTCACCAAATGGTACATACGGATAAACAGGCAGGGTGACTGGCAAACTCAATTAATGGGCCCCCGGAAACGGCCGCTAGACACGGGGCAACATACGTTGAGGTGCTTAGGGAAGGAGAGGCATCCCACGGCTATCAGAGCAATCCTGAAAGAACGTTCAAGACCCCTACCAGCACCTTACTGAGATACATCCTTCCCCCGAGTCTCCTGTAACTTTTATTCTTCCGAATCTCCACTCTAGCCAGCTAATTAAGGCAAGAATGAAATAGCAGGGCTCGTTCCTCATCAAGGTTCACTCCAGCTAGTCACAAGGACTAATCGGAGATGAGGAACAAGACACCTCCCGGGAGTCAGGTCCGTGGCGTCGCCACTGCCCAACTGGTCGCTACAAGTTACCTTGCGGATTTAGAAACCATTATTAATACTTTAGTAAGTTCTAATAAATCTCAAAACCTTCATACTTCTGTATTATCTGTCAGTTCCAGAAAAATATTTTATCTGTGGCATACACTCACTCATCCATCATCTTTTCTTTGAATAGAATAGAATTTATAAAATAAAAAATGGGCGAAGTTGTGATAGATTGTACTTGTTGCAATCAGTTATGAGTGTATTTAAAGTATGCAGTGATATATGCTACTAAGTTTTACCTTTCATATATTGAATCATTTAAGGATTAGTGTTATGATAAGTCAATAGGTAGTCTTCTTTATGTTTGTGATTGTATTACATACCTTGATAATGATTTGTTAACGCTAATGTGGTATGGCACTTGTTACAATTCGTCGTTCTCCGAGTGTGCAAACACCTAGGAAAACGGTAAGTACTGGATCTATCAAACAATTTTTCAGTGTTATGATGTTGTGTCAGACTGGTGATAAGTGAAGCAGCTCTGTCTATTAAATTGTATATTTTCAAAGAATATGATACTTACATGATAAATGATCATCTGCATTGGCTACAGAGGGTCACTTGTCTCAATTTGCCAATACCTTTAAGCCTTGTTTTGCTCTTTGTCTGTTCTGTAGTACAATAACAAAAAATTGAACCTCTTGATGAATCTCTCATGTTTCTTGCTAGGTATGTAATGTGAGTACATTTATGTTGCCTCAGCAATTCTTAGGCTCAGGATCCCTAATGTACCTAATTATCATAATAAAAATTGAATATTACTTTGTTTAAGGATGAGACCGAGAAGGCAAGTGATAATATTGAAGACGATGTTGGGAACCGCATCAGCAAGAGGTAGGTAATATTGTTATCAAATTTTTATAAGTATCAGTTTGACCATTTAACATTTTTTTTTAATTTATACATAGTAACAGCTCGCATGTGTGGTATTAAGTCTGGAAAAAGTTTATTTATAATATTATTATTTTTTATATTTTGAATGCATCTGTATTTTGCATCTGCATTGCAAAATATGCCAAAACTAAACACATATAGAATGAAGAATGTATGCTTCTTTGGATCATCATGAAAACTTTGCCTGTAATAAATAGCCCCATTCTAGGTAGCAATATTACTTGCTTTTCATTTCATTTTGTCATTTTGGACTTAGGCTGCTTTCCTTTCCTTTGGTTGTTAGATTAAAATTTACTGGAATATTTATTATGTTGTTTTAAATTAAATTGATAGTATTATGCTTATTTTTCTTGGTAGGTATATTTATCAAGAATGCATAATCTGATTAATCAGTGATTCATAATATATCTTAGAAAAGTTAATAAATAATTATGTTCTAAGTATATGCTAGAATTAATTACATGAATAACTATTTTCTTTCTATTTATTAAAGTGATTCAGATAATGCTTTCAGAGATGATATCAGATAACATGTTGTATATGAAATTTTGTTATTTATTTAATTAGAAGGGTTGCACCCACATTAAAAGAAAATGACAAAACTATATTTATAAATAAAATGTTAGGTCCATCTACATTATATAATAACATAAATATTTATTTTGTTATTGTAAAGTAAATAGCAAAAGTGAGATGATTAATCCAATGATTTCCTAAAAAGTAGCAATTAAAACAAATTCTCAAGAAACACTGATGGTAAAAAGGACTTTTTATTCAAACATGAAAACAATTTATTACATTTTAAATTTAAATAATCTCCCATAATAACATAAGTGTTTTTTTTATTCAGTTAGGAACTCCAACAAAACAACACATGCAATATTAAGCAAAGTTCTTTAAAAAGGTTTTGTGCTCCTTCAGTTACAGGAAAACACATCTTGTAATTATTGTTATCTAAAACACAATTTAAATAACAGTACAGTACAGTAGCACAATAACTAAACAACTTTTAGTTAAAAATAATAGTCAAAGCAAACATGTTATCAAGAAAATATTAAAATTAAATCATGTTTAAATTAAATGAAATATTTTAAATTATAACCGAAAAAAGACAATTAAGGGATCCAATCCAAAAGGAGCCAATTTAAAATCGATAATAATAATTTAAAAATAAAACAGGTTTAAAAAAAAAGGCAAAGGCAATGGGGAACCCTAAATAAGGTGCGAGCATAACGCGGAATAATTATATATATCAGGAACATTACGCCAATTTAATTAGGTAATCTGAACAGTCAATATAGTTATTAAATAGCCTTAATAAGAAAACTAGGTCAGAGATAGTGCACCAAGTCCTTAGAGTTGGAAGTTTAAAATGAGTTAGTCTACCCTTATAAGTCCTGACACATGTTGTATTTGAATCAATCAATTTATTTTATGTTATGAAGTAAGGTGTTTAATAGACTTCTGTATATGACATAGTATACTTATTTTTGGATAGTCAGTATATATTTATTAGGAACTAAATATTGAGTAACTTATCTTAATCTGAAAATGTCTCCTTTTGATATAATGGTATTCATTTTATACAAAATTTAATGTTTGAGAGCTATGCTTTGGCACTAATAGGTTGGCTTGACCGGGATGAAATGAACCGGCGAGGAACAACCACAGCATTGTGTTTCTCCGTGAGTGAGGTACGCCGTGGATGATAAATTGAATCCATAAAAAAGTTGAGATTATTTTAAACATTATTTTAAGTCTTCAAAAACTGTTGCCTTGAATTATTAATAACCATACCTGATACCACACCATAATATCCTTACAAAAATAAAGGTTACTAGGAGAAGGGATTTGAAGTGTATTTCTGCCAGTGCTGAGCTCACCTTTACGTAATTAAATATCAAGGACAAAAAGCTGAAAGCAGATCTTAGTGATTGAGTTTGACCTTATTAAAATTGTTGCAGTAAATTACTTATTGGTAAAACTATGTACAAGGGTCTTAATTGTTATATTTCTGATTAGTTTTTCTGCTTTAATACCAATTCCACAGCAATATAATCTTCGATTTGGTAGTAATTATTTAATGTATTTATAGTTGTAGTTATATATTTTTTCCTTAAATACATTTCTACTCAATAATTGCAGTAGTAATGTTATTATGTATGTAACAATATGGTGTCATGTATAAAGCAATGTGTTCCTTTCCCGATCGCCTCGTGTTCCTGTTCTGCGCCGTGTTTCTATATTTAAGCGATAGTTTGTGCTGAGTTCAGAAGGAAGCTATGAGTATTGTGACGTCGTTCGTCGAGTGGGCTCGTTGCGTCGCGCACGCATTTTAATGTCGTACGGGATGTCTCGGATTGTGCTTCGTGATCGGGATCCAGGCCGTGGTTGGCTAAAATTCGCAGACGTAATCTTTATATCCTACAACAAAATTGAAATGTAGTTGCTAGTGCATTGTTTAGTGACATAAAATTTAAAATTGTGTTGCTATTTTGAAATGGTTGCGTTCAGGTAATTATTAAAATAATTACTTTTTTGGATGTTTCAAGGTGCTATTTCAAATGTTCTAACATTATAAGGTTTTCTTAGGGAGACATCTAATTCGTATTAAATTTATTTATTCTAAGCAGTTCTTTTTATATTTATGTAAGTCTTCGTATTTATGTAGAATAAAAATGTTTGGTTTATTACTATTTACTAAATAATTGGGGTAAATGTTATCCTGAATGTGGGTGGTGTACCGACTATATTTATGTGGGTATTTATTTGATAAGAAGTATATTAAAAGTTGGAACTCAAATAGCTGAACAGGAAAACGATGAAAATGTATCTTACAACAGTAATCAAATTATTGACAAAACAAAGTACCACCTGTGCGTAATTTTACCATATACACGTGTTGTATTTATTTCGTAATGTTTGAGTTGAACTTAAGTTTTTGTTTTAAACCCCAGTATCATTGGCACACGTTGCTCCATCTGCCGCCAGCCGAATGAAAATATTGTAAACTAGCTACTCTCGCACGGTTTCACCCTGCTCGGCTCCATTTAATCCTAGCGTGATGTTTTATAGCCTATAGCACTCAGGAACACTATAGGTAGCTATCTATCAGTGAAAGAATTTTGGCAATCCGACCAGCGGTTCCAAAGATTACCCCCTACATACAAACTTACAAATTTTACCGCTTTATAATATTAGTACACTAAGAGTCCTACACTCCCTCTCTTCTCACCCTGGGCAAGAGAAAACATTTTAAGATTTTCCCCTGACAAAAAAATAAGCTTCAATTGTCGTTTGCTTTCTTTTCGTAGACATCTTGCTCAGTACAAAATAAAGTCCTATTGTGTTTTTTATTTAATTGGGTCAGAATTTGCGTAATAAATAGTAAAATCCAACACCCGAGCTTTGTAAACATTACTTTTATTAACTACCTGTCAAATACGTAATTATTTTGGTTTTTGACTTTCCTGACGGCACAAAAATATTTTTCATTTTATTATTTGTTGGTAAACCATAACAAGACTGTATGCTGAGACTGGGACCGTTCCTCTGTCTGATACGTACTTGTAGATTTAAAAAAAAAACGTCCCGTTGTTGATTGGTGCTTACTGTACGTCCAGTCTCATATATATTTACTTTAGCGATAGTTATTTAAAAAAATAATCTTGAACTTAGATATGGTATCGTTATTTTTCGAAAGTCATTTATATGGCACAAATTTTTTGCCCAATAGAAGCTAATCGGTAGATTAGTTGGATGTTTGATTATTTGTACCTTGATCCGCTTTATGGCAATCTACCTGGCTGGCTCTGTCTGTTAATTTTAATACAATACTTGTGCTATCCCCTCTTCACGGTACTTCTTGATACGGGCAACAATATACCTAGTTATAATGCTTCTCTGATGCGAACAATTTATCGGCGGCGCTATATTTTTGCGATATGAACATAAAAAAGCATCGTCAAAACTTACTACTAACTAAACTACTTATTAATAAATATTTTTTAAAAGCAAAGGAGTTTGTTCCGAACTTAGAAGTAGATATTTAAAAACGCAAATAAATTTTAATTTGCGTAGATAAAAAATAGTGGACTGACTTTAAAAATGACGTTTTACTAGGTACGTGCAGGCATAAATTAATATACAATCGATACTAAAATATTACCATGCGTTGGAGGTGGAACCCCACATACTTATCTACTATAAGCCTTAAGAAAAGCATGGTGCCTGGTTAAGGTTTGCTCCAGAAGAAATAAATAAGGCAAAGTAAACTGGCGACTCATTTGCTACTTTTGATATGTTTGTTGTTTATATACTTATTTTGGTATTGGCCCTTCTGTATCATATCTATCTTAATGAGTAATGAGTGCGATCACGCGAAAAGCACAATCTTCAAGAAACATGTTATTTTCTTAACTATAAAGCAATTGGATTTGGAACGGTCCGTGGCGTCGTGTAATACACAAATGTTTGCGTTGTGGTGCCATGTGGTAACTAACAAAAGACGCGTAGCGTGCTCCGAATTGGGTGAGGTTGACGATGCGCGCTGGGCGGCCGCAGTGTTCACGCTCATGTCTACGTATAGTATGGGCGGGCAACGCAACGTTTTGGCAAAGCTCCGACGACGCTATTTTTAATGAACCTTGAGAGAAACCGCCCTTGCCGCCTTAATGCAAGTCAACATTCAGTTTGTTGCTTACTATCCATCGTGAATCTATTTTTCACTCTATTATTAGCGTTGAAAACTTTTACCCTCCCATGTATAGTGATATAGACGCCGTTTCCCGCAGCGCTATTTTCGGATGACCTCATCATAATATATTTTACGCTTGGTTTAAACATTTACCTTTTTTGAAAGGCATTCGACCCGTATGAAGGTAAATGTCAGTGCTGTAATTGCGCTTTATTCGTAACAATGAGTTTGATTGGCCAAGTAAAAGAAATAGAACCAAGTCCAGATAGTTATACATACATATGTACAACATATAGATATACCGCTTAATTAAAATATTTTCCGGTATTGGAAGTATTTACATGTTATTGTTATTGTAATTACGATTTTCCTGATACATTTCAGAATAACTGGTAGTAGGCACTGTATTTTGATTATAACTATATTATTTGACTAAATTAACCGCATGAACAAATAAGCTATTAAAATATGAGGTGGCGTTGAAGATGGCGAAGTTAGTCAGCCGGCAGCTCGGCAGTCAGCCGACGATGGTAGATCTCGGGCCGGTGCAGTGTGCTGCTTGCGCCCGCGCCAGTGAAAGGGAGGTTAAATGCGCCGCCCGCAAAACGAATTGCAACAACTTTACTAAAAATGGCGTCATTCATACATTTCACGGTTGCATTATGTTTTAAAAGTAATTATAATCAAGGTACTTATGCGGTTTTATTACACGATAAACTAATGTATAAATTAATCGTATACAATGTTAGACATGTACCAAGATACGTTACAATTACGTCTACAACAAAGTGATGCACTTATCTAGGTCATTATTTTAACGTGAGACCTTAAAACTTGAAACTCAAGGTTGCCTTTAGTGTACTATTGCAACTACTTACTTCAGTAAAATTGAGTTAAGTGAAAATACAAATAAGTCAAGATTCTTAATAAGACTCGTAGCGTAAAAGTAAATTATTTTATTAGAGCTTTATTAAATGGTGCCATACAACCACATACAATTTATAGAAGTAGCAAGGAGTAATGATGACCAGTATTAACTCTCATGACCCTTAGATGAATACGCGTAGACGTAAGGCTTATGAAATATATTCCCTCAGTAGATTGATTTCTGCATGACCTCCGGATTGTGGTTATATTTGTAGTTAGTGCAACCGCCATTCTGACCACATAAAATATTCTGTTTTGCCGTTATTCTGCTGGTGCTAAAATAATTCTGAAAATGGTTCTCTTGTTGTTTCAGTCTCAATGAGTGCTACTTCGCGAATAAGGGCGCAGCAGTGGTGCTGGGAAGTGCAGAGCGTGGCTGTACGAACCCGTGGCGGTCGCCAGCGCGCGCGTTCCCTCAGCCCGACATACAACATCACCTGCAGTCCATGTTCTACTTGCTGCGCCCCGAAGAAACGCTCAAAATGGTACAGTAACACGCTTTCGTATTGACATATGTCTCGCTTGTATAACACTTCATTATTTAACACACGATTCTAACACAAGAACATGCTGAACCAATACACATTGAAGAATTATCTGTGAATGTTTGGTTTATCACTAGGCGGTGAAACTGGAGAGCGCTCACGCAGGTCGCACCAGATACCTGGTAGTGGTATGCCGCAGCAACGAGGCGGCGTTGCTCGGCATCGATTGCAATGAGCGCACCTCTGTCGGACTTGTGCTGCGCGTACTTGCTGATACCTCTATTAAATTGGATGGCGATGGGTACGTTACCCCTGCATAATAGCTTATATGTCAATGTCTTTAACTATGCATGCATCATAATATTAATACGTTTATTTTGTCATATAAACCTGAAGCAGGAACCCTTAACTGGCCACCGTTATGTCACGAAGCAGGTTTCCTCACAGAATACTTTTACTAAGGCCAGAACAATAACTAATTAGGGATTCATTGTCCGCAGAGGATTCAGTGTATGTGTGTGCAATCAACAACACATATTCAAGCCGGTATCGGTACAGGCCATGTGGTGAGTATGAGCTGAGCTACAGTTACATACATTATTATAACAGAATAACTCATATATATGTTACTTCGTAAGCTTATGGGTGCGATACGTTATAACTACATCACATTGATTAACTAAGATGAATATGATGAATTATTTATAAGCGCAAACATAATGCAACAGGATGTTAACGAAAGGCCAACAAATATTTGCAGGTCGGCGTTACAGACTCTCCATCGTGCGAGTGCACAGGCCCGGGAGATGAACCACTTCGCGGGCGGTACGTCGCACTCGTGGTGTTCCTTCTATGAGAGCCACGTGGACTCGGACCGCTCTTGTCTCAACGAGTGGCACGCCATGGACTGCATCGAGTCCCGCCGCCCGCCTTCCCCTGATTCACTCAGACTCAAGTGAGTTGTTTTACATAAACTAACTGTCGCCCGCGGCTCCGTCGGCGTGGATGTCGATTTTACACTTTTTCAAGATTTTTTTTTTTAAGTTTCTCTACCTGCGACCCTTCTCTATGCTTCCACCAATAATTCAAGACCAAAATTAGCCAAATCGGTAAAGGCATTGTTGAGTTATAACATTACAACGAAAAGTGGCATGGATTTATTTATATATATTTAGATATTACTAAAACACTCAGTAGTAAAGTAACCAATAATATTGACCGCGGATATCATGCTTCCGGCCTCCGCTATACTTCTCCAACTGCGTGTGAAACACGCTGTTATGATATTCTACCTAGACCTAGTTTATTGGCCTAGTCAAGGATCGAACGCACGCCAATGTGCTAATTAATGTACGATTATACAAAGATGAACCGTTATATGGTTACTGTGGGATTTCTTCCAAATATTCCTTCGTACTGGTAGTTTCGGCACCTAACGAATTCTCTATATGTACTAGATACATTTGAACGTCAAATGTAATTTGTATGAATCGCACATCTGCCATAAATAATGTAGTTATGGTTTATATGAAAGCGGTGGAGCTATAAGAGATTACCGCCTCTATCTTCTAGAGTACACAGATTCTAAAATATTTCGAAAGTTACATTGAAAGGCCCAAAGGTAGACTGGAAAATAATGTTCATTGCATTAAATTCGCCTTATGTACAATTTTGGTTGTGCATGAAGTTATAAATAAAAATAAAGAATGAAAAAAATATTTATGCAGAATCAATTTTATTTTATAGGCCTCGAGAAAGGGACGAGACTGAACGTGTGATACGCTGTACACTAAAAGAGATCATGATGAGCGTGGATTTGGATGAAGTGACAAGCAAAGCCATCCGAGGGCGCCTCGAGGAGGAACTAGACATGGACCTTGCTGAGTACAAGTCTTTCATCGACCAAGAGATGCTCACTATACTGGGACAGATGGACGCACCCACTGAGATCTTTGATCATGTCTATCTCGGCTCCGAATGGAACGCCAGCAATCTAGAAGAGTTACAACGCAATGGGTACGTTCTGTTAAATAGTTTATGGGTGATATAAATACATCCCGTACATAGTCATGGAAGATATTATTCTTTAATGTTCTTGTTATGCTAATTCAACTTTTAGGAAAAGTTTATTTCATTTACTATGATCTAATTTTATTATGACAAATACTAATCACACTTATTGTTGTTTTTCCAGGGTGAGGCACATTTTGAATGTAACGAGAGAGATCGATAATTTTTTCCCCGGTATGTTCGACTATCTAAACATTAGAGTTTATGATGATGAGAAGACTGACCTTTTAAAACACTGGGATAACACATACAAATATATAAACAAAGCAAAGAATGAAGGTTCGAAGGTTCTTGTTCACTGCAAAATGGGAATTAGTCGATCAGCATCTGTGGTGATTGCATACGCCATGAAGGCATTCAATTGGAATTTCGAGAAAGCTCTGAAACATGTCAAAGCCAAGAGGAATTGCATTAAACCGAATACGAATTTTTTAAACCAACTTGAGACCTACCAAGGCATACTCGATGCGATGAAGAACAAGGAAAAGTTACAGCGTTCGAAATCAGAGACAAACCTGAAATCTCCCAAGAATATTTCCAAAACGGAGAGCAAAGTGATGGAGCCCACGCCGCTGGTGCTGGCGCTGACGGGCTCGTACTCGGGCCGGCCGCGCTCCTGGTCGCCCGACACCAAGGCCGCCGCTGAACTGCTCCCCCCGCCGCAGCCCACCTCCGTCTCGCTGGAGAACTTGCCCTTCGAAACTCGTCATATGCTCATGCCATGTGCTAATGGGAGTTATAGTGTCTCACCTAATCAGATAATGAGGCTAAAAGAAGAGGGAGCACCGTCAGTCAAACATATAGTAAATGAAATAGAGAATGCTGCGTCGAGCGATCGAAAAGATTTTAGTAAAAGATATCAAAGGTTAAATTTTGGTACTCAAAATGAGTCTCAAAATAGTAAAACGCTCGAAGCTCCCGCTGCCTTGATAAATCAAGCAGAGACACCGAACAAACCACCGCAAGCCTCGCCTTCTAAAAATCTAAGTCACAAATATGCACAGTCAAACTTCGAAGTGGATAAAATACACACTTGGGATCCTGGGGAGGCCTCGTGGCCGAAAGGTGATGAGAACAGAACACTTAGCAATAGTGATAATATAGTGAAAAGTGACAGTGGAATTATAGACGTGAAGACCAATAAAGTGACAACTAGTGACACTCTTGCAAATTCTGTAGAACGTTCAAATTTAGATAGCGACGATAGGAGAGCCGTCGACGACGACGCACCACCGCCGAGCAGGCAGAGCTCGTGGAGCTCGTTCGATAGTGCAGTAGTGTTGGACCTCTCGCGACACTCCTCGTGGGGCTCCTACGATACCAGGGCTCCTAAGCCCCAGGTGCCGCGGGACGAGCCTAAGCGGCCCAAGGAACGCAACGACGAGCGAGCTCGCAAGGATGACAGCGACAAGATTGCTGAGCCCGGACTCGCTCCGCAGAAGTCCGACCTCGGCATCATCAGCGAGCACAACGAGGCACGCAGTAGCGGGCGGCGCGCTGACAACGTGCGGAAGTTTAATGAAACCTGTGCCATACTCAAGGAGCTCGCCTCCGCCGCCGCGCGCATGGAACGCGCCCGCGACCGCGGCGCGTCCACCTGGAGCGGTCGCCTCTCCGCGCCCGACACCTGGCTGCGTGCCGGCCTACGCCGGCGCCGCGCCACCTGCGCCTCGCACGGGGACCTGCCCCGCGCTGCCCCCGCTGCGCCCGAGCCCGCCGAGCCTGCCGCGGGCCTAGTTAGCAACCTCAAAAAGGAGTTTGAGGCACGTTCTGAGACCGACACGCTTCGTCGCGTTGACTCACGTCGCTCCACTCCCTCTGAGGGTCGTGATCGGCCGCCCGCATCGCCACCCTCAGGCGAAGACCTGTCAGTGAAGGTGTTGGTGAACCGCTACGATCGGCCAGGTCGGGCGCGCTGCGAGTCGAGCTGCGAGACGAGGCGCAGTCGCGCTTCCGAGTCGTTATCGAAGAAGTGTAAGCTGGCGGCGGACGGAGAGGCCCGCGCGCGGTCCGCGCTGCGGAATTCGTTCTGCGGTGCGGTGCGGGGGGCGGCGGAGCGACCTCCTCCCGCCCCCACGGTCGTGTCGCTGGCTCCTCTCGACTACAGCGAAGTGGTGGTATCAACTGTGATGTCGAAAGCTCAAACTAAAAAACAATTGCAACATGGGAAGACCCATCCGTTGACGAGGCTCAACTTGAATCGGTCGAATAATAGATGTTCAAATCCTGTATATAATACTATGTAGAAGTATTTATGTTTTTTATTTATTATGAATTCTTGCCAAACTCGATATTTTATCTTTCTAGAGTTTTATATACTATATTTACAAAATGAAATCACAGTGTATTTGTCTATCACTTAAAATTGTATAAACGGCTGTTTGTGAGTAGAGAAATGTTAAAAAGGAGAATAAATTCAATACAACTGATGTACAACTTTTACGTCCGCGTTTATTGTGCGAGACCTTTCCCAACTATGCAGAATAGAAAAAGCAAAAACAAAATAATGAAACATGTAAAGATTTTTAATTAATATTTCACAATAAAGACAAAATCAACAAGATTACATGCTCAAATAATAATATGCACTTAGCAATAATGTGTTCAAGAAATATTCCACACGTTTATTTTCATAATCTTGGAGTAAGGTTTAGCTTACATAACATCCTGAAGCATCTGGCAGCTGGTCAACCAAAGTCTACGGTCTGTAATCTTTTCCCAGTAACAAACGAAACACGAGGTACATTTGGTATTTCGCTTATTTTTTTGTAGGTCTCTGTAACTTTACTTGGTTTTCTTCTAATTGTACCGAAATCAAAAGCGTAAATGCCGCCTTGATTATTTCTTATGCAACATTCGGTCTGAAAATTAAACTTTCTTGTTACACTTGTTCAATATAATTGCAACTATTCGAAAAGTATTGCAGACGTTTATATTTAGGTACTTTGTCAACTTACGACTTTCATGTTTATATCTACTACTCTCAATATGTTAGAGTCTGATCCTCCGCAAACAATCAAGTTTGTATGTGGCACCATTTTCCCGCAATATAGTTTTGATTGATAGTTATCTGGTACAATGGTTTCAATCAATTTACACGAACCATAATCCCATAATTGAATACTATCTTTCTCTTGCCAAGAACATGTCAGTATCTAAAACAAAGATGATAATTATTAGTTCATTACATAACCGTGGATCGTGATCGTGACTGTATTTCTGGTTCGTTTTTATATTTAGTAGGTATTGTTGGATTGTATTGCTCATGAGTTGTCAGTCCGTTGATGTCTAGGGAAGTGTAAAGTTCGATACTTATACGTATGGGATTCCTTATATGCCATATCGGAGATATTAAAAATATTTATTTACGTTATGTTAATACGGATTAGATCCAATTACATTAGATAACAACAAAAGTAAGAAAAATTAACAAAATTAATAATATCCACTATTTCCTTTATTGTTATAAGGATAGTACTTGTTTAGAAATTGGTTTTTCAATGAGTTTGAAGGTTTCACAACACTCACTGTTCGTCCAGGCTTGTCAAAATCAAGGCCTTCACCGCACATGTGTACTCCAACAAAGTAACGAGTAGCATATGGTTGTCTATCGTCCCAACACATGACCGTGTCATCCCAGCCTCCAGATATCATCTCATGTTGCGACCTTGGGTTGAATGCACATGCAAATATCCGTGATGTATGGCCGTCCACTTTATTCCTTTGGTTACTGCGAATAAAACACTGGATTTTGGTAAAAAAAATTAAAATTATCGTGCCAATAGTTCCTGCCCTGAGCGATGCGGAGTGTCAGATTAGTACCTACTGATTCAAACAACCCTATTTTTACTGCCATGTGCCGAAGCTTGGTATACAAAATTTTCAGTTGCATAATGGAATTGCATTGAACTGCTGTTCACACTGCAGTTCAGTATAGGACGTTCTACAGAACTTGCGAAATCTGGATGTCAGATTACGTACCTAGGAACTAGATCTGCCTAGTGTTTATTGATGACCAAATTACCGAAAATTAAAGCTGCTTTGCTTTAAATAATGTACTTTACCTCGAGTAAAATGCTCGTTCTTGGGTCTGAGCTTCTTCATCATACATGTTTAGCTTGGCATCATCGCCGTAAGTAACAAATTTACTGTGACGTGGATGGTAATTTAATCCTAACGTTTGACGCTTCTCCCTAATGGTATATAAACATTGGTCGTATTTGTATTTCCAGCATTTGATACATCCATTTACATCTAAAGATAAAATCAAACACATCAAAATATTTAGCAAGGATCAATGTAGGTACTAAATAAAGAAAACGACTTGAATATACTAATAATAAATAAGTAGGTACTTACAGGATGATAACAGCATATTAGTAATGGGGTTTGCTTTGCTAACGGGCCTATGTTTAATGGACGTTACAGGTCCCGGATAGGCACGACATTCTTCGTCCACAAGAGTGTGGATACAGTGTCCAGTATTACAACTAAATACTCTCATTGTGCCGTCATTGAATCCGGCTGCTATCTCGTTAACATCTTCTGTATATTTACAGCACATAATTTCTTTATTTGTATCACTGAAACAAAAACCGAAATAAATATTGCGATCAGCTAAAACCTGCTTTAGTTTTTATCACTACGAGGAATAACTAGGGAGAATAGGTAGGTACTATATAGCACTTATGTATCTACGTTATGAGTCATACCAATTACCTATAATCCTATTTTTAAACGAAACTTACATAATTGAAAGAACGTTCACGTCTCCTTGGTAAATCTGATTTTGTTCAATTTGAAACGATAAATTTTCCACAGTGGGGGTGCTAGTGTGAACACTAACAATTTCTTTTTTAGTACTTTTAATGTACGTGTTTGTTACTGCGAAACATTTTCGTGCTGCCTGTTTACTGGAAGCTGGCAATGGACCGGGTAATGTTGTCCTCTGAGGATCCATGATAGCAAGGCTTACTTTGCATGGTTAATAAATTTAGACTGAAAGTACAACACAAATTTTGATAAGTTGTCATTCTTCTTTTTCCACAGAGTCGCAAAATATTTTTAAATATCATAATTTTGATTAAATCCTTTTACCTGTTATGAGAGCTTCACCTGCTTTCTTCGACATAAGTAATTCTCACATTGCTCCACACTCGCTTCTTCTCTACCTGATATGAAACTCGTTTTATCTTAGTACCTACGTATCTATGTAGCTACTTACAAATATATTTATTATTTTTTGGATAGGATGTGGTTTAAAGAGTAAAAATAAGATTATAATATAATATTTATGTAAATTAATGAAGATCACCTACCACGTATGAAAAACCTTATTTTACTATTAAGGAAGGTAGATATACCCACTTAGGTATGTATAAGTAATTCCAAATTATAGCAATCAGGTAGGTAGGTAAGTACCTATACCTACTTACTACTTCCTTTAGGTACTTATCATATCGTCAGATAGCTCGTCTCCCAACCAGAATCAGACCTGGAAGTGCGGTGCGTAGAGCTTCACGCGCGCTTCAGTGCCAATATAGACTAAAGGTCAACGGAATAAGGAACCGTAGACTTATGGCCTGGAGAACAAGGAACTCTCAACAAACAGGGAGGTTTTTAGTCATTAAAAGTCTGGACACTTCCTCTCGCTATACCCTGGCCTAGAGAAGTCATTTGATGATTTAAGTAGGTACCCTCCTCTAAAAGGACTATAAATATCAATAGGTATGCTCGCAATGTAGATTTTGAAATGTTGCCATATACTTTGGTTGACTTGGTCCATGAACGTGATCCATACATAGCTTCCGGTCTGGAAGTGATATTATTTTGTCAACAAGCTACCTCTTAGGAACTACGGTGGAATATAGGTGTGCCTTGCTGGGGCTGGGCACCGTCCTGTCCTCTGGATAGTAGGTACTTTCCCGTCCGGCCTTGGTGTGGAACTGTGGACCGAGAGCAAGTGGGAAGCCATATCTTCTTGCTAAGCAGTGATGATCGCAAAGAAGGAGGCGCAGCGCGCAAGGGAAATATACTCGTCAGGCCCCAGCTGCTGCAGTAGGAGACACGAACAATTACAATTGAGTCTAGGTCACGTGTCCAGCCGGTCTTGCGGACCAAGCGGAATAAAATAATGGTCCTGGCCTGGAACAGGATAAGGAACGGGCTGGTTCTTAGTCAGTAAAAGTCTGACGAGTGCGCCATCCAGGGCAAGAATAGTTTGATAATTTTCGCCTTCAAAAAGAAGGCTATGTCTTAATATTTTACCGTTTTTGGGTATTTAACGCGCACATAACTTTTGGTTTGATTTGTTTTTTGCTTGTCGTTTCGGCACACCGGTTCGGTTACACCTGCCATGGTCTGCAGTTATACTACTAATATGCAAAGCGAAAGTTTAAAGTAGGTATTAGATAATATAACAGGCTACGTGTTATATTATTTAAACAGTGCAACTTGCTAACTCAGAATACAGAAAAAATAAAATGTCTTGGCGGTGCCATGTGGTGCAAAGTGGCGCGCATGCATGTTGTTTTTTTTTTATTATTAACTGCACAAAACGGTATTTATCTGCGATTATAAAAAAAAATGGATATCTACTAATTTAATATACGTGTTAGGTAAATACATAGGTACCTATTTAGTTTTAGGCATTTACTTATACCTACTGAAGTTTTAGATGTTACCTACATAGGTACTAGGCTCAACATTTGAAAGGGGTGGTATCAAAATGCTACATTGTCGACGTGCTACAAAATAGGTAGGTAGGTATAGGATTCGTACAATAAAACAAAATTGCAACGCTAAATAAATTTTATTTCATGTCAATAGGTTTTCACACTCAAATTATAATGTACAGCTTATACTTAATAACATTGAATCTGTCTAGCATTAGTAGAATTTTATATCACGGAGCAGCAAATAACAAGGATGTGCATGGTCAATAAAATTACAGGTGCGTAAATTGTGTTTACAAAATTACGTAATATTTAAGCATTAGGTATTTTTCGCTGCTTGTTCAACGTCATGGCATTCTGAAAGTATCACGATTGTGTCGCACCAAAAATTAAATGGAAAAGTAAAAAGAGACGTAATGTGTCCCTGACCTTTGGCCTCGATGGACAGTGCTGTTTGGAGACAATGGCGCCGCTACAGGGGAGTATCAAATTAAATTTGAAGACTTTTTCAATTTAGTTTTATGATGTTATTAACACAAACCAACGGTTAAATATATATTTAGGATCTCGTTAATCAAGCGCTAAAAAAGTAAACGATGCGGCAGAACTTAACCAATATCCTTCACCCACTTTTAAACTGCAGTCATTAATAATAATCATTTCACTATCAGGTCCCAGCTAGAGTTCAAACGTGCCTTTAAAGAAATCAGCGCCATCATCTAAGTATATTTCACTAAATAAAATAATACCTAAGCATTGCAATTTACCGTAGCAAAGGTAAGGTACAATCTATCATTTCTTATCTGACATTTTCAAATGTATACCTGTTCAATACACTTCATTCCTCAATTAGAATAAGTTATGCTTAGTACGAATATAACAAAATTATGGACAGGTTCAACCTAGATCACATATGGCGCCAACGAAACCATGCAAAACCACGTGGTCACACGATACTAGTAACTACAAATAAATCATTACTCACATTGTCTTCAACACCAGTGCACTCAATATAATAAATAGACAATTATACTACTTTACAAGGAATTTCATTGCAATCAATTCACATGCTTAACTTTAATTAATTCTCGCACATGTATCACGCAAGAGCCATGACGCGAAGCACCTCAAAATATGTAACTTGTATACCCTTGCTTGCTGTTGAGTGCATTACTTTGACTTGAGTTATTTATAGGCATTTACAATTCATTACAGTTCTCAAAATCAGTACACAGTTAATGATTAATAATCAAAAAGAGTATGTGCACTAACTGTATTTTTCACAAAAAATACCTAACAAAAGATCGCAAGCGTATTACGATGTCAATTCCAAACACGAATTGGTATTAAGGAATTTGAATAGGCAGTTTTTATTTCAATATGAGAATGTCATTAAAATTTTACAAATACGAATAATGGGTCAGCTCTGCCTGTCTGGTCAGTTACCATGATTTCGGACGTAAGCAAATAATAATTACTTATTTAATATGAACCATATTCAATTGTTGATATTTGTTGTTGCGTTTTGGCAATGCACTACAAAGCCGTGCTTGTTCCATGAAAAACGACTGAAATTATTTTATTTTCAACTGCTGGTTACACCCTTGTTACTGTTACTTATTGTCTAATGCACCTTTTATGCTCTCATATTACAAAAGACAATCTTGGATTATTCGTAAAATATTTTAGGATTAAGTACCCGAATGTATTGCACAAGTAACACCAAATTTTATTTGTGGCTAGTGCAAAGGAGCGTAATTTTTTTTTCAAACACTATAATTTTTACTAGGAAAATATCATACCTCCAGTGGTAGGGCCTAAGTATAATTAGTTAGCATATAAATTATTAAAGTTTCTCTGTAAATGAACGTAATAGAAATCAATAATAATTGACAATTTGAGTTCGTGAACTACATCTATTATAGGTAAATTTCTGAAAATTGCAAATTCGAAAACATTTCAATATTCACTTATTAAAATTGCTAAAGTGTTCATTTTCTTTCACAGAAGTGAATATTTATTTAGGTAAGCAAAAATAACATTATAAGTATTGCAGTTCAAAGGTATAGCAGACTGCAGTAACGTTACACCAAATTTGAAGCAGCCGGTGCAATTATGAGGTGCTATTTTAAGCAGATCGTTCCTTTTAAATACATTTGATTTTACAGATAGACCCTATTTTTTCTATTAATGTCAATTTTATGCAATTAGGTATACAAATTACGGGAAACGTGTAAATAATTATGCCACATTTATTGAAATTGACTTTTGGGTAATAAGTATGCGATGTTTTCGAAAAATACTCGATTACAATATATATAATATTGTTATATTAGACTTGACACTCATTAACAATATCCTTACACTACACCGACAATCGACATGCATTTAAATTAAAACCAAACAACAAATGGCCAAACCGAATAAGTTAATAAAGTAAAGAAAATCAAGCGAAAACGTACACAAGAAAACAATACCATTACCTAATGTTATTCCTATCAACAATATTTTCGGAATCAGTATCTAAATACCGCACTATAATTTGTAGAAAGATATTAAAATTTTCTGTTCATTGAGGCTGCAGAAGACACGACTTGCAAGGCTTCATAGAAAATATTGCAACGTTTACACAATTAAACTCTCGTTTTGCAGTTTCTGTTAGGCATGCCGATAAGACATTTGCCACGGATTTTCAGCAGCCAATACGTTTGGTTAGTAGGAGGATATGATTTAGCTAAGTATAATGTATGACTTGAACACGGGCTCAGAATAATTAGTGTAGAATAACACATCTCAACCAAAATAGCAAGGAAGTTATACCACGCAATTGGGAATTAAATGATACAGTTTAAAAATCCTACCATATATTATTAGTTAATGTTAGAGTCAATAATAAACATAAGTTTATCACACCTAAATTAACATGTTTTTAATTATTATTTATTTTCAAATTATACCTAGGTAGGTACTTATACATTTTTATTCAATTTTTAAGTAATGTTCAATGACTCGAGATAAATGAATTGAGATGCTTCAACCAGTTTTTGTCATAAACCAAAAAATAATAGCTGAAAAAATTTAAGAAAATCCCAACATTTTTGTGGGATGTGGCGGTTATACTGAAATACAACCTCCATCTAGTTGAGAAATCTCATCATAAGAGATGTTAATTTTATTCATCTAAAGAACAAATATTACTTGCTGATTATGGCTCATTTGGAAAATTTAAACAGACCCGTTTTAGAATTAGGTACAATACCTACAGATTAGGTTAGGCTACATGCTGCAAATAAACAACAAAGATAAGACCAACAGTGGGCAAAAGCGTAAACTTGATAAACATAATTGTAATGTAAACCGTTTTTTTTTCAACCGATAAGGTAAGAAAATGTTAATATCTTTTCCCAAATCTTAATATCCGATCCTGTTAAAAATTTAGATACATCAAATAAAGTAATAAGATAAGTAAATAATAAAAATAATCGTATATTGTAATAACCACTATAAGCATTTAATTTTTTACAAGAAAATTTACAAATATAAAATTTTATGCAAATGGAATTAAATAATCTGTATGGTTATATATTTCTCCTAATGTTCCTTTTGTACTTAATAGTTTGGGCAACGACTACTACTAATGTAGGTAGGTATTACATATTTTTACACAATGAGAAACAATGGCGCAAGGCGTATTACATTATCATATGAAGCTAAAATATTGTATCAGAAAATATTGCCGATTCCTTCAGTTTACTAAATCCTACTACTCCATAGCCAGACATTTGTAATATTATGACTGAAATAAAGTTAAATCTGTATCTAGTCAATTGTAAAAATAAATATATCTTTTTATAATTTGTATTTAACGACGATACATAACGTATGTAACATTTTTTCCAGTACATAGAAATATTTGACCGAGTTTTTTTTTAGAAAAAATCGCTAGCTCTTTTATTGTTAACAGAATTTAAAACAAACATACGGAAATAGTCATATTACGATGTATGATCCAACAATCGCATTTCCTTGATCAAACACTTATCCTGCCGTTTCAATTAGCAAATTGTTGAGGTTGTATTTAACTATACTTGATCTTATACTACTTTACTACGTATTAAAATTACCCAGACAATTGCGATATTCATGTTTAGTTTTGTCGGATCTCTGTATGGCCGTAATGCTTTTAACATGACCTGCAATGTTGCAGCAGCAAGGAAATTTATGTCATTAACGTATGTTTATCTTTTCCTTAGAGATTTATAATTATTTTGTAATAGATGTCGTATTATCATCTCATTTAGGTATATACAGTCTTGCAATTTGTACAAACATCCTTCCAATTTCTTCTAAATGTTATTTACAGTGGCTATTGGATCAGTGCGCTACAGCTAAGTCTATGTATACCCATTCAGTAAACAATCCCACATTGCTTAGTAACAAAAATATTCTAACTATTTATTTCGTCAAAAATAGACATCTGCCTACAATTTTCATACCCACATCCACCTGAGGAAACATACACAATAAATTTATAATAATCAACATTATTTGTTAAACAATGATAACAATCAATAGATTTCTATTTTTTACTATACAATGTATGAACTCTCAACAGTCTGCTGTTAAATCATATCATTTACCTATTAATGTACAAAAGCACAGTACACTTATTTCTATTACACTCATATTAATAGCACTGAAGTTGCATAGATCCAATCCGAAGACAGTCCGATTATTGCGACATACATTTAATATTTATTAAAGCAAAATAAATTAGTAGAATTTTCCACTGTATTCATGCTGTAATTTATATCTAGACAGATTTAAGTTTGATAAATTGTATGCGAATTTCAGTTAGAAAAATTAATATTTTCTTAAATTAGTACAAATAACTATGCAGTGATGTGTATTACAAAATCTAGATTATTTTTATAACAAAATGTTATATTTGAAAAGCGAAACATTAGATGGTTGCTGCTCTTCTTAATCTTTAAGCTTTTGTTAAGTATATAAATTCTTAATATTCATGACAGCTTGAATTCTTCATAATGGTAACTTGAATTTTTTTAAAGGCCTTGGTAGGTCCTTTATCGAAATATAATTATTATTTATAAAAACTACAGAATATTGATAACATAATTAAATAAATATTTCATGGGCTACAAGTGCAGTACACCATAAAACAAAACTCTAATGACAATATTTTATTAAAATCCAGATACAGAATGATATGCAAGGAACATTCCACACTAATTAATATTTGACAAGTGCAATGTCTAGTATTTGCGGTCTTGTTGAGTTCGGAAGCATATTGGTGCATTTATTTTTATCATTTTGTGATCCAAAAAAGCTTTTTATATAAATACTTTTGCTTTTTTTAAGTGGAAAGCAAACTATGGTATTATTTATATAAATTATTTAGTATGAAATAACTGTCAAGATATGAACACAGAGTTCTGTACCTATATCCTTTGTAAATATTCTGTTTTTCGTTTGAACTTACATAAAGATGATTTGTAAGTTGTACAAAACGATAGATTGCATTATGGTTTTATTGCCAATCTATATATTAAGAAAAATACTTAAAAACATAAGTAAAAAATATAGTTCAAAAATAAAACATATCTAGAATAAGCAAATTGTATGTTTCATAGTGGCCCAGACATTAACAGATGACTAAAATATCTTGATCACAATTTTAGTGATATTCATTGTTCAGTTAAGTATGTTTGTGTAATCTAGATAATCACGATTACAAAACATTTGATAATAAAAGCACACTTAGATGAGATGAATACCCATGTTTTGTTAATTTGACCTAAAATTATTACAATTGTTACTTATATCAGTTTTACATCTATTGCTGTAACATTAATGGCAAATTTTAATACTTGTTGCCATAAAATGCAAGTCATTTTGATCATACCACTTTGGATTTACAACTTCAGATTTTCACAAATTCAAGTAGTTTAATCATATTCTGGCTTGTTTTAAAGAGTTTTTAAACAAGTAAATATAATTATTAATAAGTATTATGATCATAAAAATTATGAGCACCCACATCAGCAGTTATTATTTGTCTTCAAATTATGCAGTTATTATTACATTTTTAATCAAAGGAACTATAACAATCACAAATGTATGATAGATATTGTAAATTGTTTAGATCACAAATTGATAAATATAAGCACAAGACTAATTATATGTATGTAATGTACATATAAAAATTATCTAGTGTGTAATGTTCATTCCATGATACTGTAATCTACTTTATTTATAATATAATTATATAAGTTTGAATAAATCAACGAAACACAAGCAACTCCACAATAAATAAATAACATCAGTAGCAAACTATGTATTTAAACCACTCTCTTTACCATTAGAACAACCCTTTTGTATAGTGTAGATAAAACAAATGATAAATTATCTAATTGTTGCTACAATCACAGAAATTATTGTGAGCTTTCAACCAGATGATAGATCAAACAGAGTGGCCTTGGGACTGGTGCCGTTGTCCCCACTGACTAGAGGGTCCCTGTGCAGAATTACCTTGTTGCATCCAAGAAAGGAAGTTGGGTGGAGCAGGCGGCGCAGAAGAAGCTGGACCAGCAAATGCGCCCTGCTCAGAACCCCCGGACGGTATGTTGTTGATGAGACCCCAGCCAGCAGCCTGATTTAATGCAGCTGCCACTAGAGCTTGATTTACTGGCAATCCTCCCATCCCCAGGGGCATGCTCCCACCTTGAGCCTGCCCACCACCGCCAGCAACTGCAGTTTGACCATGTTGTCCTGATAAACTCAAAGCTTGCATGTTCACCATATCCATATTGCGGCTGCTCCATGAGTTGTTGTTTGATGCATTGTGTGGGTGCCCATCTTCATAGTTGCGGCCAGGCATAGAGCGCTGATTAGAACCACTTTTGTTTTGCTTAGGAGAGGCATTAGAAACATTTACAGACACTCCTTTAATTATATGATCTTGACCACAGAGGCTTTGAGCAACCTCAGGATCCAAAAATGTAATAAAGCTGAAGGCTCTAAATGGTTTAGGAATAAACACATCAGTTACTTCCCCGAACTGTGAGAAGTATTCTCTCAAGTCATTAGCTGTTAATTCTTCTGTACAGCGGCCAACAAACACTTTACAAGGCATAGATGCAACTGATCCTTCTTTTGAGTTAGGTATTCGAACATCACACCATCTTCCATCAATCATATGCCGCTGAGCAAGCACTCTCATCTGAGAAGTATAAGAAGCAAATCTAATGAAGGCAAAACCTTTCGACATTCCAGTTTTAGGGTCTCTTTTTAGTTGCGCCATTAAAACTTCACCAAACTTCTCGAAATATTCACGCACAGTTTGCTCTGTGGCCTTCCATGGCAGCCCCAGTACTATCAAATCGGAGCACAGATTGTCATTTCGCTTGTTCTTCGTCGCAGCAGATTCGGAGTTTTCGCCCGGTTTACGCTTAGATTCTTTAGGAAAGCTACATATGTACAAATGATTACCCCATCCTTCAGGGGGTGGGTACAATCTGCCCTCTCTTAATCTGATACCCCTGATGATTTTTGTTTCAGGGTGACGATATTTTAGGCCACAACAGCCCGGAAATTGCGCCGATACGGTAGTTAACATCAACGTACCATCATCTTCGATTGGTAATTCTATGGGTTCTTCATTTTCGTCTTCAGCCACGGGCAAGTACTCGAAGGACATTATTTCTTATTCATGAACAATATTAATAAAAATTGATAAAAATAAACACAGATTTTATACTTATCACTATACAAATGTACAATTTTTATGTCATATAAATAAATAAAATTAATTAACGTCACCTACGGGTTATGAACCCATTGCAATTTGCAGGTTGAAAACATAGTTCGACAAATAAATTTTGATCTATTGTAGAGGTGGAATCAAAGGGAATTTGTAGAGTTACAAGTGTCAAATAATGGTGATCATACTATAGTAATAGACAACTTTCTAAAATTGACGTTTTACATCACTTCAATGTTGCCACTCTTTCTTTAATGGAAAGTCATCGACAAAACACCAACACCAAACGTTTGCTTTAAACAAGGATCAACTGGTACGAACGATCCAAGTAATTTGTAATGTCAAATCATACATTAATTATTATTTATATTAATTTATCTGGAAATCTCACGATTTTGAAGTAACAGTTTTAAAGAATTCTATAACATTAGGTCCGATATTCCAACAAAAGCTAACTTTATAGAGGTCTCTTTGAATCAAATCCACTTTTATGCCTATGGGGGGTAACGAGTCTATGGTTCTTCAACTCTGGGTTGACTGTTTGAAAATTGAAATAAATAAATGCAGAAATTCGTCAGAAAAATAGTGAATGAAATATTGATGTGCTCTTTTCAATAACTTACAAAATTTGATATTGTTTTAAATACATAGTTTAAGGTGAATATTATTTTTCAGTCACTGAAATAATAAGCGTTCATTTTAATAACAAAGTGTTAATTCTAACATAACCTAAATGTGTTAACAGCAAAAGATTCTTTGATATGTTTTAGTTCAAAAACCCTTGTTAAAATGTTGTTGTCATAAATGTTTATTGTATTTAAAATAAGATTGCTATGGATGATGACTCTAAAGAATATAGAAGAAATAAACCACAGCAAAAGTTTTATAAACCAGGTAGTGGACCATTAAGACGATCAAGTTATGGTTTGGACGCTAAAATGGACACAAACGACATAGATGGAGGTTCCAAAAGCCGAAACCAAAATTATTACGGATCTCAAAACTCTATCGCGGACGATTTAAGCGACTCTTACAAGGGAACGAGTATGCGTCACAAAAAGCCTGAACAACAGCTTTATGTGCCTAGGTCAGGAGATTCTTGTTCTGATAATGGTAAACAATCTAAAGTACCAATGAGGTGTGATAATTCTAGTCAGTATGTCAATAGAAGAATGTCTGATAATCCAGACAGACAGGGTTCAGGGTCTTATTCTAGAAGTGCTTCCAAAAGAGATAGATCTTTTGCAGACTACCATAACAAAGATGGTACAAACAATGATATTAACTATAATAGACAATACAGACAAGCCTCTGAAACAAGATCCATTTCACCCACACACATGCAAGATCAGAACTCTATAGATAGAAACAGAGATAGCAGAAGTATGGAAACATCAGCAGGAAGACATCTTTCTTCTTCTGGAGGTAAACCACCGTCTGGTCGACGTAACTCTTCAGGTTATACATCTGATTCATCAAGACTTAAATATATGGTAAATTTAGATAATATACCCCCAAGATTTAGAAAGAAATTTTTAGAACAATCGGGCCACCACAGTTTTGACAGTGATCAAATACGTAGAGACAAATATTCTTCAAATCAGTCTGTGCAACCTATTTACAACCAGGACACTCCATATTATAACATGTCAAATTGGTCCCAAACTTTGCCATCAAGAGGTAGAGGGCGACTAAGGGACAATGAGGGCTTTGACAGAGAAAAATTTATAAGTACATATTTGAAGAGCTATGATGTGCAAAATTCTAGAAAGTCTACTCCTAGTGGTTCATACCTGAATTTATATGATACAAATTCAATGGAAAATAGACCTGCTAATGATAAAGTAAATACTGGGCCAAGTAGTACAGAAAGTCAAGAATACCATGATGGTAAGTACAATCATTATCTGCATGTACTTGATTTTTTTTTACGAATGGAAATTATAGTTGATACACCTCTGAATCTTAATCATAATCTAAATACCAATAACAAATTATACACCAGACTACTCTATGATAACTTATACAATTTAAGTGTAGTAATCCTCCTAATATATAATTCTAAATTAGATACTGTATAGCTACGCAGTTAATATTTTAAAATATGTTAGTATAAAGTTTGTACAGCATTTTATATAGTTAGGTACTCTCTATTGTTATCAATCTACTTTCCACACAAGCTGTATAAATAATAGAAGTGTAATATGATATGGTTTGTAGATTTGCTTTTAAATAAAGTAATTTTGTATCCCTATAAATTAGGAAATAAGAAATATTTTGTTGTTTTTTACATCTCTGTCCTTAGAGAATTATTAATTTATGTATAGAATGTGCCCATTCTGTGATTACTAAGTAAAAGTTCTAGTGTTAGTAGTAATCCTGTATCACTTGATTAAATTGTTTTAAATTAGTAAGTTTAATTTCTTTGATGATTATAGTACAGAAAAATCCATATCAAAAATTATAGGGAATGCCTCTAATTGCATTTCAGTTTTGGCTTATTCCTTGTACTCTTTCTAAGGTATCTACTGGCTTAATATCATTAGATTGGAAATATATTTCAAAGTACTTATTTGTGTAATATTATTGGCATTATTATTTTAATCTTAGAAACACTGAATATTTACCAATCTTGGGTTTGCCACAGGCATAAGAATTTTATATTTTTATTAAATGAAGCTTATTTTATTCCTTTTTCTTGAAAAACTACTCAGGTTTAATTTTTTTTTTTTTTAATTAATGTTGTTCCTGAGATTATTAGCATATTTACAAAGAAACTCATCAGATTTAAAATAAAGTATAAATCCAGTTGTTGTGAATTATTTTTAACAAATATTTATATATTTTAGCGTCACAGAATGGTACAAGCAGCATGGCTAACACAATTTCTAGCAGCCAGCCTGAACATCATAAACAAGAAACAGACAATGAACATGACAGTGAAACTACATCGCAGATCTCAGCCACTTTATTGGATATCTCAAATTTGGTAAATATTGTATGTTAATTTATTTTCTTGTTTGCATAATTAGCTATTTAGAAAAAAATACAAAATATGTGAGACATTTTCAACATCCCAATTTGACTTTGTATTAATACTGTTTGCAAAGCAATCCGGGGTACCAGGGCTAGCTAGAAAATATACTGCTGCCCTGACCTGTATTTGGTAATAGTCTGACACTCTCTCTCGCCCCACCTACACCCAGGGCGGGATTGTAGGTACTATTTAACAAAAGTGCCTTTAATCTTCTCTCCTAATAAAATGTTGCATTGTAAGTATTTACTTTGCTGCTGAACAGAGACCATAATTGATTCTATGTCTAACATATCAACTGTTTTTATGTACACATTATGGCATGCAATAAAGTATTGACTCATATGTTGATTACATTTTACGAAAGTGGGATTTCCTTTCCTTGTTTAAAAACTTAAATCATTAAGTCAAAAATCTACTTAAAGGATTTTCATTTTATGTCGTATATACTTAATAAGCAGAAAATAATGAATATCATCTATATATTTTTAGGACTGGACAGAAGAAGTAGAAAAGAACCTAAAACTGGATGACTTGGGTGATTCTTCAACTAGTTTTTCACAAAATTTGAAAAAGTCTGTACAAGATGATGTGAAACCCTCTGAACCTCGAGAGTCGAAACGAAGTGGGAGATCGCGACGTAAAGACCGAAGGTAATTGTTTTACGATTATTTTTATAAAATTACATTACACAAGTTCAAAATCATGGTAATCAGGTTTGTCTCACTTTCTAGTTCATAATTATACCAAACTAATACACTTCATATAAATGTATTTAGATTTAATTTTTGCTGATGAATGATACTAAAAATACTGTTGTGAAAAAAAGTGATTTTCAATTATTTGAATTACAGAAGTTCAAGTAGAGGCCTAAGGAAGGACTCCGAAAAGAAATCGGAACGCAATAGGAAGGATAGTACAGCGAGCATTCAGCAGGAGCCAGAGAGGACGAGAAAAGACAGCAATGTTAGCATACAGCATGAGATCGTGCATTCAGGACTCAAGCAGAGAGAACGCGAGAGACGAGACAGTCACAAGAGTAATCGTTCTTCTACTATCGGGAATAGTAGAGACGATTTGGATCGTTGGAGGTCATTACGTTCTTATAGTAGAGAACAAAGTACTGAAGGGTTAGTCATTTTCGTTTTACTACTTACGAACCTTTGTCTTTTCGAAAATTTTTGATAAAATGGCAATAGTCTATTTTATGTCGTAACAAAGCTTTAATTTTATTTTATTACAGGAGAATAGTTTCGCAATGTAACAGTCGAGACACGTCAGCTAACCGTGCCACTAGCCCAAGAGATCACGATGGATTTAGGATTCCATCATCCATGTCCAAATCAACAGCATGGCTATCAACAAATCAGGTACATAATGTTATAGATATAAGTTTTATTTGTTTGACGTAATACCATTTAAAATAATGTTATGCCGACGTTTTGCCGACTCAACCATGTTTAAACATATAATTTTGTATACATATAGAAGTTAGTATGAAGATGGTCGTAAATTAGTCTACGCAAGCAAAACCATGAGTAAAAACTGACGAATTATCACTATTTAGTATTTAGTACGGAGAAGCTTCATGTATTATGAATGAACCACTAAGTTAAGTGGAGATATCTATATCGTAGAATTTGTTCTAGAAGAAAAGCAACGGTTCCTGGGCTAACGGTCGCACTTCAAGCGTGGAGCGTGGTCGACAGTCGCCTGCGCCCAGTCATGCCAGTGTCAATACTGCGCCAGCTCCCGAAGGTGGCTCAGGACGGCGTTCTCGTAAGCGGGCTGGTCGTCGTGCTACGGAAAACAGAGGTTTGTGAAAATCGTTTAAATACAAATTCATTAACATACCAAAACTCCTTCAAGTAGAATCGGGCTCATTTACCATCCCCCTTTTTTAACCTCAATCTGAAACAAATTTCATTTAGATGTTTCAGCAAAATCAACAAGCATCTAAAGTTTCGCATTTTGATACTTATTTAATAACCATTATACTGTAGAGCGCCGCCGTGGAAGAAACTCCGAAGCGCAACAACCCCAGCAGCAACATTCACAGAGCTCTCAGCACGCGGCGCCTGTGGCGTCCGCGGCGCCTTCGACCTCACACACACACTCGCATGGTTCCAGTTCCGGGACTCTCA